CTGTCCGTTGCTCCGGCTCGCGTCTTCGCCGATCGGCAGAGCAGATCTTCCTTGAACTTTCGCTGGAGGAAGGCGGAATCGACTTCGCCCGATGCACACGCCACGGTGGTATAGATCTTGTCGCCGGCCTGAGGGCGGCAGGGCGAACCTTTTGACGGCAGGCCGGCTGCGGATCTGGACGAGGCCATATGCGTTCGTGCGTTTGGTACGGGGATGATTGGCCCTCGCGACCGTCCGTGCACCGTAAGCGTCGAGTTGTACTGTCGATCGTATTAGTGGTATAGCATGGTTCTGGGTGCTGGGTTTGCTGGTTTTGTTTCAGCCAGGTTTAAGTAATGTTTGGAAACAGAATAGAGGCCACTGGCACCAAATGGGTTGACTTGACTACTCAACGGTACTCGATGCATTGTGTCAACCGTCAGGTCGAAATCTCTTCTAAACTTTTTCACAATAGCTACTTGTAAGTCGCTTGAAAATAGTTTTTTGGGTCAGTTGATTTTGGAAGAAATTAAGAAGCCGCCGGTGAGAAGGAAGAAGCAGTCACCGACTCACCGGAGAAGCCCTTTGGGTCTATCTTAGGATGGCAGGCGACCCCACTATCTATTCTAGGGTGGCACGCGATCTATTATCTATTTTAGGGGTGTTGGACGTGAGGTTGCAGGTTCGCCAGAAGAAATGGTTCATGGTCGGGGTTAGAGGGATGGCTAGGGGCGCCAACAGCACGGTTAGGCCAGTGGGTAGATCGGCGGTTCAAGATTGAAGAAGATGAACAATGAACCATTTTGGTGGTTGAAGAATCTGATTTGGTCATCCATCTTGTATCCGACGGCTCACAGCGAATCGACTATCACAAATTGGATTTTCAATCACCTGGCATCTAGCCAATCCCAATTTTTCTTGTCCTTTGGAATATTTATCAACTTAGTTAAAAGTAATATTTGTTATGATGAATGTATTTAACATGTCGAACAAATATCATGACACCACAACTATTATGGCTAAGGTTACGGGCACGAAAAATTGGGTCCCTAGCAGTCTAACGCCTATATTCTCCTTCTGAATTAATGGGTGGGGTAAATCTTTTACCCCCGTTTAAAATAAATAACTTTTACAAAATTATCATAAAACAGAAATTTTAGGAAAGTTATTTCAAAAAATTAAAATCTTTTTAGATTAGGATGTTTGACACTATTTCTAACACTAAAGACCCACTAGTTGGTCCGCCACACGGAAAAAGATTGATCTCGCCTCGGGCGGACCACATTGAACACGACCGGACCCGTGCCAGAAAAAAATTATTGCTACTTTGAATTTTGGGCCAATTATGAGCGAAAATTGTATCTAGGAAGTTTATGTTAGTTTGGTAAGCCGAATGAGTTGGAAATTTGAATGCTCGGTCCAATGTTGTCGATCTTTTTAGAATTTTTCAAATTTTCATCCACAATTTTAGTTTTAGGTCAAAATTTAGCCAAAACTATAGTTCAAAAAGAAAAACTAAAATTTCTCTCGATTTGTTGAGCTACATGACTTGAAAATTTTCCAGAATGCTCAATCCAAGGTTGTTAGGATTTTTTTTTCCAGAATTTTCAGGGTATTTTGAATTTGCAGTAAAATTTGGACAAAATTTTAGTCTTTTTGTGCAATTTTTGTAGAATTATTCTATGGATTCAAGAAAACATTTTAGGTGTGATGAGCTCAAGGCAGTCCGCAAAAAATAAACTGGGTGAAGTTACCATTTTCCACGTGGCGGCTGACTTGTGGGTCTGAAGCAGAAACAATGTTAAAAACTCAAACATCCTAATGTGTAAGTTTGAGCTCTATGAGACAAAGATTGATTTTTTTTTATAAAACTCTAGTATTTGTGGTTTATGATTATCACAAAAAGAAAGTCAAGGTTTTATGATATTTGCTCTAACACGTATGACAATTGCCCCAAGATCGTATATACAGCTAGTAAAACCAACAAATATTGCTTGACAATCTTATATTGTTTCTTCCAGAGACACGGAGTGGGCGAGTGGCCTCGACCCACATCCACCGCCCCCTTGCGGGTTTGAGGATGCAATGACAGGGACGAGGCAGCATGCCGATCTAGATCTTCAAAATAGGATGTGTTCGTTAAAATACACCCGTTTCAGTGTGTGGTCAGCCCAGGAAGCTTCGGGCATTCGTCTCTGATTCGGATCATTTGCAAATCTGTGGTGCTGACGAAATAGCCAACTCGAAGTAGTATATAAAATGAGTGCAAAGGTCGGGACACCATACGGATGAGATGCCACGAGGAAGAGATGACATGTTCCTGGTTTGGTACTATGCTAACACTGCAGAAGGCTCTAGTTTATGAAAACAAAGAATCCTTCTGTCAAGCCAATCTTGATTGTATTAAAATCAAATACTATAACTTAACCAAGTGGCCGAGGTGATATCGTCACACATTTGTATCGTTGAGTTGATTGCAGTGCTCCGCCAAATTAATACAATTTCAACAACTGCAGTTCTATATCCTGTTTTTTTTAGCTGTTTCTTCTTTCTTGGTTACTAGGTTGGTTGGCTCGTTGGCCTGTTGTAAAGATCTTAGTCACTGCTTCGGATAGTTTAATTAGCCAGCTAAGCAGTATTTTATTTCTGAGATTCCTACTAATGAACTCTTGCTCTCGTAACATACTGGTTTTTTTACCGTGCTGTGGACTAAACACGCACACGCCTGATGCTAACAGGAAGGCACTGCTGGCAGCAGTGACACAATTGGCATATACGCACCGACGATTTTTCCAAGAACGCGTAGGAACGATTGTGATTTGTGCCTGCTATGTTTTCATTATGTTTCAGACCGGCGTTGCAGATGCATCTAGATTATTTTTTTAGGATAGATGCTTTTTGTTTTGTTTTGCGGGAAGCATCTAGATGTTGTTGACCTCAATGAAATGCTCCATCGATTAGTTTTTGAAGGTGTACGGTTGGCCTTGGTTATAAACGTTTTGCACACCGAAAATCTAGAAATGCATGATTGCATCCGTGAACAAGCACGTCCAGCACACATCCAAATTTGCAAGTGAACAACAACCGAAGGTTGTCACCACGTGACACATGCATGTGATAAGCAATCCAAACAACTTAAAAAAACGAAGGTTGTCCATCAGCTGTCCAGTCCAATAATGAGTTCCTATATTCCTAAGCAAAATCACAATCCCATAGAAAATGGTGTGTCGTCACCTCGGTGGCTTGGTTACAGAGAATGCAACTATAGCCATTCATGGAAAATCCTTTCCTTTTGACCATAGCACGAGTATTCATTCATGGAAAATCCTCTCCTTGTGCTTAAGTCCGCTAACTATTTTTCAAATTTTGCTGAAGAGTTTAGGATTCTGGTTATTTCCCATAAGAAACTTGTACATGTGCATGGAAGAATGTGAAATAGATGTCGTAGAGAATTTCTAAATATCTTTGCCAGGGTTGGTGTACATATGTCTTAAAGCAATTTCAATCAAATTCACTCATACACAAATAACCGCTTATCAAACATTATCTTCCATTTCCAATCTTTTTCGCACATTGTCTTATTTATTTTAGTGTAACAAAATTAGTTTCTCCTATGTTTGCATTGTTGAGCTCTAATGGGCCATCCTTTGTGATCATTGGCTTCTAACTTGGAAGATTACTCCTGCAAGAGGCAAACCTAAAAATGAGGGCATGAGCAATGGAGTTCAGACCAGTAAACGAGCATACGTATTCCACATAATTTCTACATTATCTACATTTTCTGCGGGTGCAATATTCACAATACATTCATCTATACGTGCATTTCCTCGTGTTTATGGCGTTTAAATTAACAGTCCCCGAAGACGAGACTATTTCTACCACGGCCAGCAGCCACCTCACCCAGCACTCTAAGAAACTAAATGCATGTGTAACAATCCCCTATAATTTAGAGAAGGATACGACTGAGTATCTTTTAGAGGAATATATTTCCTCCTCTAAAATATTGCCGTTTCTTACCGATCTGTTGAACTTAACTTTCTTTTTCTTTGCCAAAATCGTTTAGTTTTAGGCCACCGAGTTAAACTTCACTACTCAGTTATTTTATTAAATGTGACATCTTGGTCACATACTTCATCAGTCTCGCGTCTTCTGTTTGACGACTTTCCAGCCATTGCCTCTACAAGCTCTTAGGTTTAAACAAGTTTGCTCCACTGAAGCGAAATCCCAAAGACGGCATCAAGCTTTGCTCACGGCGTGTCGCCAACGGATGCATGAGGAAAAATATTTTGGCACACCCAAGAAATTGATTGTAGTTCTCTTTCTTTGTACGGGTGTGTTAGTAACTTTGTTCTTTTTAAAAAAAAATTATGATTATCAAGTAAAAACATTATAGCTTTTTCCAAGAGTTGGGCTCTTTTTAAAACTTTCGCACCGGCCTCTGATTTACTGGTTCGGCGGAGCAAATTTAAAAATAAGGGCACGAACAGTGGACTTAAGGCCAGTAACTAAGCATTTATACAGTATTCACATTTACATGTCTGTATGTGCATTCCCTCCTGTTTCTCTGACGTCTAAATTAACAACGCCCAAAACAGTGAAACGCGACTGCTTCTACCACCCAACTTGACAATCATTTGCCGCGTCAATCTCCGCCGTCCGATCTAACATCAGCGGCCGAAACCACGCACCTCTCGCGGCTACTCGGCGCAGGGCTATGTGCAAAAATGCGCCCTTTTTTTACTGTCAGTCTCGTGTGCCCTGCACCTCTACTCGCTCTCCAAAATGGCGGTTAAGTCGGGCGAGAACCGCGGCGGCGACCTCCCGCCTCGGTAGGCCACCCTCCGCTTCTGCGGCACCGCCGGCTTCACTGGAAATTTCGCCAAGGTTTCGTTCGAGTAGTCCTCCTCGGATGGTGCAAACACGAGCGGCGTCACCGAGCCCCGCCGGCGCCGGCCGCCGGCAGACGAGGCGGTGGCGGCCTTAACGAGGGCGGCGCTGGCCTTGACGGCAAGCGAGGCCACCTCCTCGCCGGTGAGGCAGCGTCGCAGCATCTCTGCGGGGAGCACGAAGTAGATCTGCCCCGGCTGGAGCTGCTCACCGGCGGCCATCGCCGCGACGGAGCCCGCGAACCCCATCCTGTCGGCGTCGCACAGGAACCACCCCTGATGGGCCACCTCCTCCAGCGCCAGCGCGGCTGTTGCGGGCGGCGAGTACTCCCTGAGCTCGCCGCTGGGGAGCACCACCCTCGCGGTTGCCGGGCCGTCGGCCGCCGCGTCGTACGACACACACAGGCCCATTTCGTCTTGGTCGCCGCCTGTGTGCTGCTGCTGCTGCTGCTGCTAGCTTCTTGTCCTGCGCTTCTCTTGTTCGCGCTGACGCTGTTTTTGCGGTAATGTAATGCGTGGTGTGCTTGCTGCCGGAGACGGCGATGGTATATATAGCGGAGCGGCTGACGGAGACGCAGCGGGGAGGCAGAGGGAGCATTGTCGTGTAGCCGGGAGTGGGAGCAGCACAGCCTGGCTGGAGGTTTGTTGCGGCCAGTGAATGGCATGGAGCCGTGGACTATCTAGCAAGCTACATACGGCCCATGCGGCCGGCCACGTGAAGTCCGTGAACTTTGCGCCGCCGGGCGCGCCACGCGTACCGTCGCCCATGACGAGACGCGGCATGGCGCCGCTCCGGCGATGACGCTCCCGCCTCGCGCGTCTCGCTCCCGAACAGGGGGCTACGTACCTACGTACATGAAACTTTGGCAAAGCTTCTGGACTACACGCAACTGAAAAAAGGTCAGTGACGCAAACGATGAGAAGATATTCCAGAAACTTTGGCTTCACGCCCGTATCGTGCACGCAGCTAAGCGCTCTTCTTATCGTTTCAACAAGAAAGGTACTTTCTCTCCGTCGAGGTTTGAGAAGACATTTACGAAACTAATGAAATTCCAAAATATTAGGTTGTGATTACAATGAACTCTAATAAAAAGTTGTATGCAAGCCTGTCAGAAAAGCTCAAAAGTAAAAAATGTGTGAAATATGGATAACCAATTACTCATTGTCTTGGTTTTACAAAAGATGACTCTCTCTGGCCGATTCTTTAAAAACCTTTAGACTAGCCATAATGAAAGTAACTTCGGCAGTAACATCAAGTCTAACTCAGCAAATTTGCTTATGTGGCAATGAGTTAATGAGGAGAAGTAATTGTAGTAACTTAGGCCCTGTTTGGTTCGTAAGTCCTAAGACTTTTTTTAGTCCCAACTTATAAGTCCCAAGTCCCTAAAAAGTCGTCCCTACCTGTTTGGTTCCTAGGACTTATAAGTCTCTATAAGACCATATTACAACTATAAGTCCATATAAGTCCCTCCTTGAGAGTCTTATTTCATAAGTCCCAAATGCCCACTTTAAGTCCCTATAAGTCTCTCATGTTTGGTTTAGATGGGACTTATAGGGACTTATTTAAGTCCCTAGACCAATAAGTCCCTGGAAACAAACACCCTCTTAGCTAGTTACTGTAACATCACATGTCCCAATGCAATATGAGTCTATAACCTAATCAATGAATCTTTGCATGTTACCACACTTAAGTTAATATCCATTATGAAGGTAGTAATATAGTCTAGGGATATGTATATGTTACTAGTTTATGTTACTCTCCACTGTGGCTAGTCTTAGACTACCCATAGTGGGAGGTGATAACATCACACATCTTTAGGTAAAATAGATGATGTGGAGAGTATTTAATGAGGAAATAGAGGCATGTGGTAACATAGTTAGTTACTGGAACATCACACGTACCAAAATAAAATGAGTCTACAACATGTTACTAGTCTATATTATTACCTATTGTGACTAGTTTTAGAGGAGTAAAACGAGTAGTTAATTGTACCTAGCTGAACTCTTAATGTACACAGGAGCAAAAAATTAAGGAGATGTCTCAAAAAGCAACCCAAGTCTCTCATTTCTGTACTTCACCGGTGCCACTTCTCAGGATAATTTCGGCCACTCCTTACTCCCGCCCAGGGCGCCACCCCTTCCCGTCAACGCGGCCCAACCTTGCCAACGTCGCCACCGCATGCATCGATTCCGGTTCACTAGAAGGCGACTCTACTCCGCCCACGCCAAGGAAGAGGTTGGGGATGAAAAACTTGCTCCGCCCAATACTGCATGCATGTCCTTCCGTTTGGTGCGAAATTTTTAACGCGGGACGGTAATACAAGATCATATGAGAATGCTCGATATAAGAGTAATCTGACGTCAAGTTTCAACCTTGAGATTTGAAGAGCTGCACATGGACGCATGGAAAATCTACCGGAGTTTCAGTGTAAAGAACAACTTCCGACCACAGAAACATACTCCAAGTTTCAGTGTAAAAACTTTTCGTAGGTCCTAGTATTTCCTATTTGGATATGGAAGCATGCATGCCCATCCCGGAACTTTTCTTGTCAAGCTTGTGTGCACATGGAAACCAGCTAACACATAGAAGCCCCATCAAAGGTTGTCGTGTACTTAGAAACAACAACCCGTTTTATGACCCTATATATCCATTAATCCATTATGCCTAGAAACTTGCATTTTGTACCGTGGGTGGAATAGAGTACGGCGTTTCACTGTTCTAACCATTCCCGCGGTCGTGCCCGTCTATTAACCACAGGATTGCACCACCACTCATCACACGATCAACGGCCCTCTCCTCCCCACGAGATCGATCCTAGTTTCGGAGGTCAGTCCAAACAAGAACCAGGTGCTTGCCAGGAGCGAAACCAAGCATGGGTCGCCAGGAACGCCGAAGGAGGAGTAAATTGCACAGAATTACCACAATTGAGGCATTGGAAGCAGATTGGTACCAAGTTTGGTAATTTTTACATGTCAGTACCAAGTCTGGGGCTATACGTTACAAAAAGGTCTAAACCACGTATAAACACGTATTGATGGGGCATCTGACCGGCGGGCCCCGCCTGTCGGGTCCCGACGTGGCACTTTTTTTTCATAAACACCCCTCCCTTCCCCCCGCACAGAAAACCAGCCGCAGCAGGGGAGGAAAACCAACCGTCGCCGGCGACCAGCAGCAGCCACGAGGACCCCTCGCGCCTCCTCCCAAGCTCCCCAGCTCGCTCACCAGCACACCGCCGCCTCCTCGTGCTGGGGCTCCTCCTCCCAGCCGCCTCCGCCCGAGGGTCTCGCCGTCCCCGCCCCCAGCCGTCGCCGGCGAGCAGCAGCAGCCACGAGGACCCCTCGCCCTCCTCCCGAGCTCCCCAGCTCGCTCACCGGCGCGCCGCCGCCTCCTCGTGGCCGGGCTCTTCCTCCCAGCCGCCTCCGCCCGAGGGTCGTGTCGACCCCGCCCCACGCGCCTCGCCGGAGCAGCCATCGCCGGCGACCAGGCCCCCTCGCGGTCTCCTTGTTTCCTCCCTCTCTGTCGTATGAATAGAGGACCAAGGCCGCCCCTCCTGCCCTCCGTCGCGCGAGTCGTCGTCCAGATCCATCGGTTCCCGCGCCCTTCGCCGCTCCCTGTTGCCGGAGTTGCGCCAAGTCCCGCTGACTCTCCTGCTTCGGCTACAAGCAAGCGAGGCGAGGTGGAGGCCGAGGGCGGGGCGGCGGTTACGGGAGGCAAAGAAGCTCGGCTCGAGGGGCTCCTCCCCTCGATCTAGATCGGGCATCGCCGCGCGTGGAGACGATGAACAGTAGCGCCGGCGAAGCAAGGGGGCTTTCTGCAAAAAACATGCCACATCGGCACCCGACAGGCGGGCCCTGCTGGTCAGATACCCCGTCAATACGTGTTTATACGCGGTTTAGACCTTTTTGTAACGGCTAGCCCCAGACTTGGTACTGACATGTAAAAATTATCAAAAGTGGTACCAATCTGCTTCCAATGCCCCAATTGTGGTACTTTAACTTCGGAAGGAGACAAACGACACCATTTCCCAGGGCCATGCATGCGTGAACACTCCCACCAATAGAGCGGGTCCGCAGGGCCGGGGCGTCGCCTAGCGGCCCGGGCAGCCAGCGAGGTACGTCCCGCGTGGCGCCGTGCATGCGCGCGACGACGACGAGCCGCTAGCCGCCATGGGCCACGTCGGGTGGCGCCGCGCACATGCCCGGGCGCTGCACGGCGGGGCACTTGGTCTTGTCTGCCCGGCCGGGCCAATAATCCCCAGGGGTTTTCCCACGCACCAAACCGACACATCCGATCCCGTCATCCCGATCCTCGTGGCCTGTCGCGCCGCCCGTTGCTCCGGCTAGCGCCTTCGCCTCAGCAGAGCACAGCTTCCTCGAATGTTCGCTGGAGGAAGGTGAGTTCGACCGATAGACCGATGCACACGCCACGGTGGTTGCAGAGAAGCGTGGTAGATCTTGTCGCCGGAGCGTCGGGCCGGAGGGCGGCAGCGGGAATCTTTGGGCGGCAGTCCGGCCGCGGATCTCAACGTGGGCATACGCGCTCAGGGTGTATAATAATCGCGTTTTGGTACGGGGGATGATTAGCCCACGCAAATCGACGGTTGCATTGTCAATTGTATTAGTGGTATATATGGCAATGTTATCTAGGATGCTGGGTTGGGCATCCGTTGCTGGTTTTGTTTCAGCGTGGTTTAAGAAATGTTCCAGCCCCGTTCATCTCGGAAAAATGGTGGTTGATCCAAATGAGTTTCACAGTTTGCCAGAATGCTTATTTCAGTGTCGTCTTCAAGATTGATTTTCTTAGCTTTTTATTGGTAATTTTAGTTTGGGGCACAATGTGAGCCATAATTGTAGTTCAAAAAAGAAAAGTTGAAGTTTCATCAATTTGTTAAGCTGAACGAGTTGAAAATTTCCCAAAATATAAAATACAAATTTGTCGATATACTGCATTTTCTTCAGAAATTTTTTTGGCACTTTAATATTGAGCGAAAAATTGGACATAGTTTAGTTGCACTTTAGACAGCATTCCGGACATTTTCCAAATTTTTTTGGTAGAAATGTTCTTTCTGTCATTCAATAAAACTTTTTGGTTTGTACGGATTCAATGTATCCAAACAAAAAACCCAGAAGAAGCCAATCTTTGCAATGTGGCGGCTTGTTGGTGGATCCAGAGTGTTAGAAACAAAATTAAAACACAAACAAATTAATATGAAAGATTTGAGTGATGTGACAAATTTACCCACAAGTCATGGTTTTCTGATGAAAAAGCTACTAGTTGTTGTTTTGTGACACCCTACCCACAAGCAGTTATGGTTTATGATATTTGATCTAACATCTATTTAAGATACTAAGCACCCTAGATTTCGAGCCTCTTGGCCCTGCCTGTAAGGGCGCGCGTCGTTGGTTGAGAG